AGAAATGTATAAATTAGGAATGTAAATTACGTATAGTAGCACACAGAGGAGGAGGAGGAGGAGGAGGTGGCATGGCGTGCAGAGAACCTGCTTGTCGATTAAGTACAGTCGATAAGACAACGGTCGAATATCTAACGCGTTTTCCTTCTGTGAAGAACGAGAAGGAGGGATGGGCCGAGCTCTTAGAAATTTTTTGCAACTTGTTAACACGCTTTCATGCATTGAATGAGTTACCGGTAGTAGTAACCTCAACTTAAAAGTAAGAATTCCTTCCCTCGAGAAAGAAAAAATTCATCGTGATAGAATAAGAATCAAGTTTATCTTTAAATAAATACCACAAACATGTCTTAATTAAAAAAAAAAAAAGACAAAACTAAGCAGATAATTAATTAAATACCAACTTAATACAATGAGAAGAAAAAAAAATTCTATATCAAAAGAGAAACAAACGAGTAAAGAAAAAGAAAAAGAAAACAAAAAATCGCAAAATTACAAAATGGCCGATCTTCTCGTTGAAAACATACGTTTCTTCTTATCTAACCTCAAAATAAAATTTCTTAATGAATAAAATAATGAAATGAATGAGATAGGTCATCAAAATCTTTATCGCGGTCAACATTAACGCGTAAAAAAGCATTTGCTTAGTCACGAAAGCAACGAGTATAATAATCAACAAACCGTACCGAACTTCCCTTCGTCTCTTCTTCTTCCTCCTTTTCTTCTTCTCCTCATAAGAACATAAAGTTTTTTCCTGTCATATGAAAAAAAGTATTATACTCGTGTTTCATACATAAGAATCCTTAGTAAACTTAAAATTATACTAATTGTATGAAGTAAAGGATTAATTAGCAGGTAACACGATTGCTTATCAACTTTGTACTTACGCATGTCGTGTTCAAGTAAATCTTATAAATCTCATTTCAATGACTATAGTCAAGTTAAATCTATATTGAAAAGGTAACGAAGTGAACGAGCTTTTAATGCTCAACACCGAATGACCGTTCAACCACCATCACTACTACCCCTTCTCATTCCCTTTACTCGGCTTACCTCTCCTCCCCCGCCCGAAAACCCCTTTAACCCCTCTCTCCTCTTTACCGCCATTTCCCTTTATACCACGAGCAGGGCTGTAAGCGAGCAATTAAAAGCGTGCAATGGGGACATTTATGTTGGCACTAACTGCCCGTTAAGACGAAGGAACCACCTAACCGTGGAAGGTGTAATTGGCCAACGCGCTGAAGCCACAGCTCGTAAAAGCACAGCGGGTGTGCTGGTGCCCGCCTCTTCACAACACAACAGTTTTTCCCCAACGTGACTTTTACTAAACGGCTCGTGCAACCAAACCCGTTCCACCCTTTTTTTCCTACTTTCTCGAACCATTTTCAGCCACTTGATATAATTAAAATGAAAAGAGAAATGCGATCTGTATTATTACAGAAATATTTTTTCTTTTTTTCATTATGAGTTTTATATTTGTATTTATGTATAGGATTGTTATCAGCTTTAAATGTTTTTATTAATATTCATTAGTGAATTGTTAACTTTCTATCACATTTTGATTATTTTTATTGTACGATAATTTTGAGATATACTTGGTATCAAATTTGTTGAAATTAAAATTGCAATTATTTTAAAACATTTTTAATTAATTTATTATTTAGATTATCATATTTTAATAATCATTTTTCATCTTCACATTTATTTGGAATTTTATTCAATATCAAATTATTAGAAATTAAAATTGAAATACATAAATGTCAAAATGTGTGACTCACTTAGAACTTACGCCACAATATTTAAAAATGTTTTTTTATTCTTCTTTTTACACTCGAAAAATATTTTGAAATTGACATTGATGATAATAATCGAAGATTCATCGGATGGTGTTTATCTAATAAAAATCTACATTTACGAAAGAACGATATAACAGATCGTATCGTAATTATGAGAATTGGAAAGAGTGAAAGAGTGAAAAGATATTATGCTGTGTAGCAAGGACACTACTATCACACGATTCAACTAAGATAACGCGCCGTTCTTCGTGCTTGTTATTGCATTACAATATAACCACTCCAATGCAATTGTAATTGCAACTCTTTACGTCTATGCGATCTGTACTCGAGTTTGATATATCATAGACGTTACATAAACTACGAGGATGAAATATGGAAAAGAAAGAAACGAAACTATGTTTCTCTTTCTCTTTCTTTCTAACTCTCTACGAATATTTTATCGTGTGTATATGTGTATGTACATGAAGAACTCGTTACGGTTCTTCGAGTCGACCGAGATATATTTGCATACTGGGTGAGTCGATAGTAACTATTGAGTGGTTCGAAAAGTAATTTCGTTATATGCACAAAAATGTCATTAGTTGCGTAAGAGTTTCGAGATAAATCTTATTCTAAACTTTAAAATCATTTTACATTCTAATAACAGATAGTTCAAACGTGAGTTAAAATCTTTCTTAATACGTGTGGTAAAATGGAAAGATAAATCAAAAGATAAATCTGAAAGATGAAAAAATCAAAGTAATAAATTATAATATTTTCCAAAATGTTCATACTGATTAAAAAAAACAAAGAAAATAATAAAAATTTAAATTAAATGTATTTTTATTAATAGACTGACAATGAGATATTTTTCAACAAGGTTATGGTTGTTATTGACTCACTGTGTATGTATTACAATACGTTCGCCGACGATCCATTTCTCCCTAGCAGCTTCGATTAAAATGCCAGACAAATGTAAAAGAGAAAGAGAGAGAGAGAGAGAGAGATGGCCCCATCGATAGGCGATATTGTTACGCGTGTACACGTTGTAACTGTCCGGATCCGTGACGAAGTCACGCGATATGCATTATGCACGCACGTAAAACGACGGCCAGAGCCCAGCAGACGTTTCCGCGATCACTCCCACGATTCACCGACTCGCTGACGAGTCTCTGGCTTTGTGAGAAAAGAGCCATTGATGCGAACCGCTTCTCTTTCTCTCTTACTTACTTTCTTTCTTTCTTTCTTTCTTTTTTTCTATCTCAAATAGATTCTTAAATTCTTTCCAAGTTTTATTAACCTCTTGCATTCGAATGAAATGTAAATTATAGATTATGTCTAAATCGACATTTGAATTATGAAGGGTAGTGGTAAGAGAGTAACATCTCTGTATATGAAAAGTGTCCGTCGAAATGCATTCAATTAGGGTGGCGCCACAGTACGTAGAGGAATTTACGCCCATTTGAACAACTTTTCACAACACAAATTTTACACAAATTTTTGATTTAAAAAAATCAATAAACGTACTATTAACAGTTTACGAAATAAAATCACTGTAGCTACACGTTTTCTCATAAAAATTCTTTAAGGTTATATTTACTACATTATTACATAACTCGGCATACTTCAATTCATTTACAATAGCTACATTCATACCATACCTTCTGTCTACACCAGCATCATTCTGGAAGATTTTTGAACTATTATTTATAGAAAACGCTGCACACTTTTTCACATTTTCTTCCATAAGAGATGTTACTCCTTACCTCTAGCCTCCATAATTAATTCATAATTTGAAATCAAAGATTGTAGGTTATGTCTGAATAGCAATTTGAATACTGTCCTGCATTCGTTACTGTTCTTCGATATTTACGAGTTGTCTTTCGTTCTTCTAAGAATCTTTGAATGGATTTTCATCTAAAACAGGAAACACTTAACAATTTTTCGATCGAAGGACCTCCGACGTTCATTACGGCAGCTGCATTATATCCTTGCGCGACGCGTCATTACTTTTATTAGCATAATGACAGGCGAACAACTCAATTTGCATGGAAAATCACACGGCTTCGTAACTAAGTACGCCCCGCGGATCCATGATCGTCCAACCTCCCCCCATGGACCTATACGATTTTTAATATACCTGTGTATATTGCTTATATATAAAATATATATATATAAAAGTATTAAAATATGTGATATAGAATATTGTAGCAAAATTATACTCACTAACAATTATTTTATATTTTTATAACATTTACTTTCACATACTATGTATGTAACTACGTATAAAATATCTATACATGAATATGTAAAATAAAATATTAAAATAGTTAAACAATTTACAGAATGAAAAGTAATTTAAAAAAAAAAAAAAAAAGGAAATAAATAACGTTGAAAAAGAAAAAAAGTGCGTACGGTTCGTCGCCTGAAAGGAGAACAAAATTGATCGTGATTATAAAAATGAAAAAGGGGAAGGGATATATTAGAATGCAGTGATCTCTCCTTCGATAACGAATCTCGCGAAATATTATGTAAATAGAGGAGCGCGTTAAACACCCGTAGGTACCCTTTACCTTTACCTGTAAACAGTGACGGACTAAACGATAAGCAAACTAAGTGGCCTCATAAGCCCCCAAACGGGTCTCAAGGTCTTCAAAATTCCTTTTGCATTATTACAGTTCGAGTGAAATTACATTTTTTTTTTTTTTTTAAATAAATTTAGTTAATGTTAATAGAATATGATATTTTTGATTACGTTTCTTTTTCGTTAATAACTTAATGAACATTTTTATGAAACTTTTTATTTTTACCTTGAGTTAGTTGATCATCAAATTTTAACCTCTCGAGGGGCCCCAGTTTGACTTGATCCGTTACTGCGTGCAAGAGCTGCGCTCGACGTAGCAAGTATAAAAAGCACATAAAGCAACGTTTAGCGCACGCTTAAACGAAATTGCTATAATCCAAGACAAGGCGAACAAAAGTCAGTGTTGAAGATGAAGAACAGCAGGACGAAAAGATCGTGGTGGGGGAAAGTAAAAGGAAGAGGATGATCAGGGGGGGGGAAGTAAAGGAAGGGGTGAGTTGGAAGGAAGGAAGGTGAGGAGGGGTTCAGAGAATCTGGGGAAGGGGATGAAGATGCATTAACATACCGATTTACATAATGCGTATAATTCGAGTAATTATGAAGAGAAATATACATAATTTAATATAATACGGAATGCTTAAAATGCTATGTTCTATCTCATCCAAGAGATCTCAACGCACCACTGGATATCTTTCCTATAGTCGAGGTATACATATATGTATATATGTGTTGGGAAACAATGTGAAGATTATTTTAATAGTGTGAACTTTAACCCAACGTGTAAATATTACGATTTATGATTATATAAAAGATAAAATAATTCTTATATTAAATTAAAATATTGAATTAGAAAATAATATGACAACACAAATATTATGAGTCTAATGTTTGGAAATAATAAAAAGAAAAGAAAAAAAAAAAAAGACACAAACTCAAGATAACAAGAAACAAGCAAGCCATTAAAATGTTATCTAATCTTTCATCGTAGAAATGTCTTAAATTAGATGAACGTTTAAATTATAAGTTGGCTTCTGAACGTTCGATCAACTCTTAAATAGATCTCACATTAGCATGAAACGCGTAATCGGTTTTGCTTTCATATGCACATAAAAAATAACGCCCTTTCCTTTTCATTATGTTCTCGGCGATATCCCTTCGGAAGCGTCATTAGAATAATACAACTGGTGACTATATATGTATATATATATATATATAATTCCTCGCTAAACGTTGGTACGTGAATAATAATAACGGACATATAAACACACACACCTGCGTTACTATCGTCTTCTAATTATTCAAACGGTTTTGTTTTTTAAGTCGCTGCGATTTATATCGAGCAATTAGACCATAGTTGGTAAACGCTAATTGGAAATAAGTACGCGTTGCGTATACATTTATGGTACGAATACAAAGAAATACAAGAATACAAAGAAATAATATAGTTTGTTTAAACCTCTTTTAAAACGTCAAATCGTATTTATCCAATTATTTCTTTTTTCTTCTTCTTCTTCTTCATTTTTTTTTTTTTTGAAGTGAAAACATCATGTCACATATTATATTATAATTTATTAAATAGAATAAGAGTACAAAATTAATTCAATTGAATAATCCTAATATACACACACAGATCAAATTATAATAAAACATAATTAGTATAAAATTCAAATTAATTTTTTTCAAGATTTGGTATCACAAGTATAAAATAAATTAAATTCAATAACCCTAACACACAAGATCAAATTATAATAAAACATAAACTTTACAAAATTCCAACAAATTTTATCATGATTTGAAATACGGGATAAAATACGTAACATAACAACCAGGAAGAACGAGAAATGAAGAAAAAAAAAGGAAAGAGAATACAATAGAAAAAAGAAAAAAGTGGACCATGATATCCCTTAACATTGTTTTTGAATCTCGTCCAGCAAGTAACAGTAACACATGATATATTCAGTTCAGCAATTATAAAACTGCTATATAGAAAGAGAGGTACACCTCAGCACCGTGAACATATGTCGTTCATCTCTCTCTTTCTTTTATACTTTATCCCTCTCTCTCTCTCTCTTTTCATTGGCAGCAAGTCCCCTCTCCCCCCCCCTCTTATTCGTCGGTGATGCCGACATGGGAGAGAACCCGTGACACGCACGCTCGCACGCTCGTTCGCACGAACGCACGCACGTACCTACGTACGTACGTACGCATGCATTCACTCACTCACTCACTCACTCACTCACTCACATGAGTTACTTATTCACCTAATGCAAACTAGTATCAGTACTTACTTATACGTGTGCGTGAACGTCGCAGTTCTCTGTATAATTTGACATGTTGTCGTACACGTTATTATTCAGATAGATCTTGAGATACCAGAGAGTCGAACGGGGCCCTCTTCCATTTCTCTGTCACACTCTTACCAACCCCCTTTACTTTCCAACCCCCTCTTCCAACCTCCTCCTGCCTCCTTCCCTCCCCTTTCCTCTCAATCCACCTCTTCTTTATCCTTTCTCTTTTTGCCAAGCAATTCGAACGGTTCGTTTAGCTTACGTGTTGCCAGCACGAGCGAATTAAACGTCACGAATGTTACTATGTTATTTTGGGGTCTTTTTTTTCTGTTTTTTTTTTTTTTTATTTCTTTTATTTTTCATTTTTTCACTATATCTCTTTCTCTCTTTTTCTTTTTTTATCGATCATCGATTCGTTCTGTTTTAAAGCGTTTACGATACGTGGTGTTTTATTATTTGATGATACATCCAAGGGGAATTACTAAAGAAGGAAATTTGATGTTGTTTGTTATTTGAGTGTAATAATCATATGTTATTATAAGATTTTAATGTTTTATTGAGAATATTTATATTTTCTTTTTGTGAATTTTAATTGTATTTTATTTGACTTAACTTATTTAGTATTGATTATTGAAATAAAAGAAAAAAGAACAAAAATTTTAGAAAAGCCTTTAAAACGAGTAAAACACACGCTACGTGTAAAAAATTTGCAATTTCTTTTTAAAACACGCCACGCCAATGTTTTTTTTTTTTTTTTTTTTTTTTTTTTTTTTTTCTTATTATTTGTCTACTTTCCTCCGTTAAAACTTTCCAGGTGACTCGATCGTACTCGTGAGATTTCAACGGTCTCGTCACGGAGCGACACGGTGACAATTAAATCACAGGTTTTCTCCGTTGATCATGACGGATTACTATGCTCCCTAACATAACCTCCCCCC